TTTTAGTAGACATTCAAGTTTCTTCTTTAAGTAATATACTATCATTTGTTTGTGTAATTATTGATGGAAAAAAACAACTCAATAAAAACAGCTTATTGAAAGCAATGTGGAGGGAACTTAGAAAACACGGAGGATACATTCTTGCAAACTTACTTCACAAGAGGAGCCAGTATACCCTGGTGGACACTGACAGACTTCCACAGCTGCTGCTACACTTCCATCAGTAGGATAGGAGACAGCAGATTCAAGGCTTACAGAGCTCAACCTGGGGCAAAGAGAAAAAAGATGGTAAATGAGTAAATGAGCTCTTAGGTATTATATGGTTGGAGGAATACTACAGCAACAAAGACGTAAATAAGCAAATTATCTCTGCTGAGAAGAAGGCTGATGACTACTCATAACTTGAAGCCCTGTTCATTTGTTGTATTAGGCAAAGTCTGCTCAGGTTAAAGTGCTGAGAATCACCACTTCAAATGCTGAAAGAATATGAGAGCGTTCTTCCTCATTTCTTGGTTCTTGGCTATGTGTTTGGATTTCTATTTTTTGGAGATAGATAGACAGTTTAAAACCAATTGAAGGGATTTTGTCAACAGAAAACATTCCCATGACTGCTTTGTTTATTTTAACATTTAAACAAGAAAAGCAGAAGGAGACAATATTCAATCTCAGCTTTTAGACTGAAAGAAAATATGGACGCAATTTTGGTTTCTTTTTATCAGAGATAAACCTGCATGTTGGTAGTAGATATAAGTAAAATATTCTCAAATGCTCAACTGCATTAGTTAGAATTATTTCCTTCATGTGTTTTGAGCCTAAATTAAATTCATTGTTCTCTGTACCTGTGGGTTTCATTTTATTGGTAGTTCTGTACAATCTGGTGATTTTAGCAGAGTGATTTGGCATCACTCATTATTTTACAGAAAGGCAACATTGGCCAAATTGAAATCTGAAAAAATGCTGTTACATAAAATAAACAAATAATATGTATATACATTTCCTTCCTTAATATACATTCACAATTTAAATCAATGTTATTGCTTTTTTACTGGATTTTCCCATTTTTTTTATAAAAGAAAATTTAAAAAGCTTAATTGTTAAGACCACAGTTTCAGGAGTCAAATAGCCTAGGAGTCATAGCCTGTCTCTGATATTTACCAGCCTATGGCCCAGAAAAAATTACTTATTCTTCCTAGTCCTCAATTTTCTCAGCTATACACAGAGATATATAATAGTTCATACATCGTGAGCTTGATTAAA